ACAGTTTACTGATGTCACATCAATAAAAACTATTTGTTTTATGATGAAATACATAGATGATAATATAAACATTTGAACATCGACTTTTTGCTTGAAACGAACGATCCTTGCAAGTGTTCAAAACTAGTTGAGTACTGGGATGGAAAATGAAACAAACGTTTACTTTCTTCACGATGCACGATCTCGACCGTTGTTGCTACCTTGACGTGGTGCTCGGGATTGCCTATCGTGATGAACCAATAGAGCCATACTGGATGGAACAGTCGTTCCTCAGGGTCCTACCATGCCAGACAGGTCGGTTGAAGAGCGGTAAGAATGAAAAGCAACAAACCCAAGGTCCGAAGGCGAAATCGTACTGTTGACTGTACAGAGGTGTGACAGAAGTAAGGTATTTCCTTTGGACAACCAGCATAACAGCGATGTTGCCTCCAGGGGAAAGGTCGATCCTATGAATTCACACCTCACCTTATCCCACGGATATCCGTCTCCGGAGGTAAGGTCTCAACAAGTACGGGACTAACACGAAAATTACCCACCAAAAGGTCGTATGTAATGGACCTCAAGCAGCTGTTCCTTGGGCACTGTGGTCACGCTCTCAGGTCACGAAGACCACCTTTAACCCAATTTCCTTTTCAGATATCTCCAGAACTGACAATGCACGATGGCACGCTAAAAATATCTGCTTGCCGAAAGTCTATATAAAAACCCAGCTGATAAGTTTTTATACCTAGGTTTCGATTGTTTACTTATTTGCATATCTATTTAAGTAAATTCGACGAACTTAGTTCCTAATCTGCAAAAGGAAAAATAACTATTCTAATTTAAAAATGATATTCATCGGGAATCATGTAGGAAAATATAAAGTTATGATGTATTAACTGTGGTTACCCAACAATTGAAATCCAAAACACCTAACAATAGCAATATACATGTACTTACTAACAACTAACTTTGAAAGATGATTCCGATAGTCCTAGCGATAAGTCGTGATCAGTAGAGTCCAGACATGTCTAACTCCTGATTAATATCACCAGTGGTTACTGATGGTGGTTGTGCAATATCACGAATTATATAGGGTTATAAATGTAAACCACTGGACGTCAACTTAGTGGTTTGAAGGTCAAGAGGTCGCTGTGAAACTGAATGTTATGGGTTCGAGCCCTAGTGACGTTGTAAATGCATAATGATGGTAGGTCCCTTATTAGGATGAAACCACTGTTCAGTGTCCATTCTCAGTGACCTAACTGAAGTCAGTCTATGACGTAAAACTTCAAACTAAGTAATCCTTATAACAACAATAGAAATTTAAAATCTTATCTTCTCAGGGAATTATTTACTACTTTGTTTGAAAAGAATGCTTCACAAGAAATTTGGCCTGGAAGGTAATGCTGCTGTAGACAATTTTAAACTCTTCTAAAGAAATTTCTCTGAATCAACATTAACGTATTTTTGGTCAATCCTTGTTCGTTACCAATCCCAAGAGTAACCCCTCGCACTTCAGTGTGCACGTATCAGATCGCTGGTGCACAAGGGAATTGCTACATAGATCGTTCGATAAGACTTATATCAAAAAAACACTCAAGATTATCAATAGTTAAAAGAACCAACAATGGACGCACATCTTATCTATACCGGTTATTCAATATATAAAGAATCATCAAAGTCGGCTAAAACGTAAACAGAAATTTACGTTCCTATCATTTGAATTACTGAAGCCTTTTATATGAATAAAAATAATCTTGAATTAAGTATTAAAGTATACGTTCAGTAGATATTCAACCTCCCCCTACCATAATTGTAATCCCTAGTTTTGAGAATTCACACCCATCCTTCCACCATTCTGTTTAACTCAAATCGACTTATTCCTGTTTCCGTATTTTTTCTGATCACACATTACTTTTCAATCTATCTTATGTCATGCAAGCCACTTTCATGATTTTTATTCTTTCTCTACTTAATAAGGCGTTCTTGATAAATTAGTCAAGCAAAATAACTATCCCGTTTTCAATCTATTCAGAAGGATAAACCCTTGCATTTTCTTTGTTTTCTTTACTACTATGTTCGACAATTTCCCAACATTCCAACAAAAACATTATGCATTTGTGATTGTACAGCTTCGATAATGATTCAGAATCAATATACTCATTGACCAATCACAAAAGTCTAAAATTTCAACTTGTCTCGGTTTTCTACCAAACGAAAGTGAAAACAGTTGTCTGGGTTTTATTTTCCCATGGTATGTAACCTACTAGTTAGTGACAGAGTAAAGAGTGAGAGTGCTAATTTCTATAATTTAGCGAGGCGACTCTAACCAGGTCCTACTATTTTAACAATTTTTTAGTATTGACTTGCTCCTTTCGTTCCCGCTATGGTGATATGAGATGGAACAACTTAGACCGACACACATCTTAAGTTATTGGTGACTGACTATATATTTATTATCGACATGAAAAACTATGCCATTTACTTTTGTATTTAGGATTTCATACAACCAACTATATAACTAAGTTAAACAAAATATAATGTATGATGTCTAGTGGCTTTTTCATAACACAGACTAATGACATCATACATTTTCGTTGAATAAATTTATAAGACATTTAAAAAGGCAAATATTGTAGTTTGTGAGATATTTTTAAATCAGATCCAAAAGCTGTCAAAGAACGAGTTAGTTTTATCAACACGGTTTCCTTGATGTAATATTCAAAAATGTGACTAAAAATTAACAGTATCTCTTAGCAAAAAATAAAACGACAGTTGTTCCTATGATAAAAACAAGATACTTATAAGTAGCCCATTATGACAATCGATCTTGAAAATGAGATAGCAAAATGTATGTAGTGATAATTAATAGAAAAACCTAATGAATATTCAGTCAACGGTCGAATCATTATTGCCGAAAACAGAAAATGTCGACCAAATAGGCTACATTAAAAAAAGGATGGAAATGATGAGTTTTCATTTAGCTCATTCACTGACAAATAACATATAACCTCACAATTGGGAGGTCTCTGAATAATCGTTTAAGTGCATTTTTGTTAGTGACACACAGATCGATTAGTGGACCAAACACGAAGAGAGGGATTAGTTATGATTAGAAAATCAGTAAAATGCATGACAGTCTGTTGAATGGAAATTTACAGTAACTTTCATCACACTGTCAGTTGACAATATTTTAAAAAAATAAAGCAAAAATACCACAAAACAGTGAGCTGGGATGGGATTAATGCCTTCAGAAGAAATGAATTCGTCTTAATATAAGTTTAAGTAAGTCAGTCAGTCACCCATTTGTAAAGAAACTGGCATATACGTGAATCGGTTCATGTTATCACACTACACCTGTACAGCGAGATTTCATAGTACAAACAGTAACAGTATTAGTGGTAATAAAAAAGAATAATCATAGAAAGCATGAGTGGAAGGAAAATATAGGTTCATGGGATAAAAAGACTACAAGATAATTTAGAAACCTAAAATATGGGAAAAGACAAATAGTGAATGCATCTGTACTGTTGTAGACGATTTTGAACCATGTTGCGCAGTTTCTAATCACTTGTTACGATATATATCGAGACACTAACCAAGTAGTTTGCACCTACCTATATAACTCAATCCAATTGTTAGTGACTTCGTAGACAGATACCACGTTCTGGTTTTGTAACCTCCAGCGTTCTAGCTTACCATTAAACCAGACAACATTGACCGTCGAGATAAGTGGTGGTTGGGTATGCGTAACATATGTACCAATCACTTCAGTTGAAGATTCACTACCTGAACAAACTTGGCATCTTAGCCTAACTAAGGAACTCCAGATGAATCTCTAGCTACGAAATTACAAATTTGAACCAATAACCAAGTTAAATTCTTCATTTAATCGTAATTTTTCAGATTAATTATTTAAGACAGTGTAATACTAATTTGACAACTAATTACATTTTGTGCATTCGGGTGAAAAGTTCATTTTAACTCTACGTAAAGCACTACTTTACCAAGATAAATCTCCCCTAGATAAAAAAAAATATGGATATAACCTTGCACAAGTTCCTCAACCCATTTTAAAATCTTTTTAATGGGTGATATGTTTGAGTACTTTAAAAAAAATGTCATTCATCTGCACAAAGATTAAACATATTTCTTATGATAAGATGTTTGACACTACCTCATAACGAAGAATAATCTACACCAAATAACAAGTAGGTGACTGTAATAGCAGTGAGATTAACATATCATAGTCAAACAGGTAGGAAACTACTTTGATGATATCAGTTCAATTCTGCCCATTTAAACGAAATAAAAAGCGCTTATTCTAAGGTAACATAAGGATATCGAGAAGGGGACTTACAATAGTGATTGCTAATCATTACAAATAAGCTTCCTCGCATACTATACTTAATAGGCACTTACGAAAACATAAAAAGTACATTACATGGCACACTTACGAAATAATACTCCGAAGAATAGAAAACATGAGTCACACATTGCATTTACAAAATGCAGTCTGGTATTTTATTAAAGTACATTTCATCATTTTGTTGCTTATTTTTTCATTGTTAACATTGAAGTTTGACTTATCATTAATCAGAAACTTTAGACACGTCATACCTTAATCCCTCTATTACTACAAGCGATAGTCATTACTTCGAATGTCTACGGGGATACTGATAACACTACTAAGTGCTAAGACAAACAGAATACAGCGAAAAATATACATATTTAGTTATTGATTGAAATCATGAACCGATTGATGTTAGACCACCGTTGGAAACCTGAAAGCACTGGACGGCCGTTTCGTCCTATTCTGGGACTATTTAGAAGTGCGCACCGCTTCATGATCTCAATCAAAAACTTAATACTCTCCACAACCCCTATACTGATATCTAGTTATCTACAAAATAACGAAAAGAGGAATTAATGCATAACTTTCACTACTGACAGTTAGTTCGTTTTTTGACTGTCAGCATTTAAAATCCTACATAAACAAAAAAACAACAACGACTAACCTCAATATACCATCATAAACGACACGGTCATTATAAAGATGATAAAATTCCACAACTACTTCATCAACAGCCGTAAAATGATTGCTCTTCTAGATTTGGAATACATTTAAATTAGATAACCAATCAGAATTATAGTTTCGGTAGAGGGTAACTCTACTAAATCGATTTTTTATTTGAATATAATTTTAACCAATCATCTTAAAGTATAATATTAACCAATGGTCTAAACAATAAATGAGTCAGTTTATCAAATGTATAAATCGGCATGACCTTCATTCAGAAGTATCGTTCCCTAAATCCCATAACTTCACTTCATGAATCATATTGTTCAAATTTTCTTCAAGGTCACTACTACATGTGAAAAGTTAGTCAAAATATACATGTACACTGAATAATGGTTAACTTGAACAAACATTTTTTGTTCAGGTCAAGCGCCTAAATAAATTTAATTATTCCTATTACAATAAGTAGGAGGTAACAATTATGTATTGTCGTAAATTTCTAACCAGGTTGTACTATGTAAATAGAAATATTTCTTCAAAACAATTAAACTGTTATGGCTAACAAATTACAGGATGAAATGCGTGGTGTTTGTGTAGTTTGTTGGAAAATTTGTATTTAAATGGAACGGCGGAAAATTCAAATTATGTAGGTAATATAAAAAAAAATGAAAAAATATGCCATAAATAATGTGGATAAAATATATTAAATTAAAACTGGCGTAATAAAAAATAATTATAGGGGTATATCAGAAGATAACATTCACTTGAATCCAATGTGACCTAGATGGAGGCTGATTATTGTGATTACTCAGTATTATTAAATTAAGTCAAGTAGGGGAAAAAGGAAGGAAAACACAAATTGTGTGTCTGAAAATGTGGTCAAAAAATTACGATTGCTATTACTTATTGTATCCATTAGTCTTGAAAACCGTTTCTCTATTCACTAAATAAGATTTGCTATTTGATCTACTTGACATTAGTTAGTAGGCATGAACAGGTGTTATCTTTGACTCGTCCTTAATATTAACTGATTCTATCGATCAGTTGCAATATTATTACTAGTCCAGGTAACTTGATCTCTTGGGAAGCTGGGTTATGTGAGTGTAAATTCAATAGTTCTAGAAAGATTACAGGTATTCCTTGCTGGTTAATAATAAACCTAGGTGTCAAACTTTCTCCAGACTTTATCAAAATCTACTTGATAGTTTAGACAACCGTACCAGTTAATAGTTGAGAAAGAGACAATTCGCTTCTCAGGTCATCCCACCTATCTAATGTTTCCACACTATTCAATTTGTTTATGAATTAATCGTTCACTTTTTCACATATATAACAAAACTGCTGTTTCAACGGTAAAAGTATGGTATACTGACGACCTTCTGTTAACCAATCAGAATTAGGATAATGCTTCACTCATTTTGCGCGAAATTTAAAATACACTGATGGATGATATGTATGTAATCAATAACTAAGTGAAATTTGTCAATATTTGGTTGTTAAAATGCTCGAAACCAGTAGAAATATCTATTATGCAACCAAAAGTGGATTTTAAATTATAATTTCTGGTTAACGTTTTTTTAGCGAGTTAGTTTTCTACTGGATGTGGTCGCTAATCCCATGCCCAACCCTCCTCCTTTATGAGTAATGAAGAGTGTTTAGTGAGGCTAGATACTATTCTCCCACCTCAACTCTTACTCTGAATGTCAACCTTAAATTTCTGAAGTTTGTAGATAGAAGTGTGGCAAAGAATTGCACTGTAGCTGATATCAATTCACAATTATTGTCACAAGTACTAACCACCAATTCAAATAGTTTTACTGGATTACTGTCCTATTTCGATTGCATTCGTAAATAGACAAAGTTCTACTCTGATGTTCTTATTTCTATCCCAGCTAAAAGTTTTTTAGTTCCTTCCAACTTTTTTTTAATGTAGCGGTTTTAAAAAGGTTATTTCCATTTGATATTCCATTGAAAACCAAGAAGCACTGAACAGTTGGTATTGGGAATCATCGTCAATACGCACTTATTTATGATAAAAATACCATCTTCAAATCAAACTCCTACACCACAAACCATATAATCATCAGCTCGCAAGTGGCTTAATTCAAAATGAATTCCGGAGGTTCTACCGGTAATCCTTAAGCGGTGGAGTTCCTATGTGTCAGGAGTGAAACACTTGTCACCAAGTGGATTAGTTGCTCGTCACGCTAAATGACCAATTGGTTGAAATTGGAAATTTTGATGGTCATTTTACTTATATTTCAAATGTTTATCAAAAACTTAGGAATAGTTGCAAATATTTGGAATTAAAGTTTCATAAATCAGGTCACATATGTTAAACAGCATTTCTTTGACTTCATACATTGGTGACCTTATAAAGGTTAATTTTGTGACTGTCTATTGCAAAACATAAAGATTAACTTCAACTAGTCATCCATACAACACCCGATTCTCTCATAATCTTATTGGTTACCATCTATAAAATTTCTTTTACACACCTTAAAACAGAAAACAAACAAAAAGAAACCCAGTAAAATAAACTTGATAAATTAGTCTAAATTATTAAAATATTGTATATCAGCGACAAACTAATAAGCGAATGCATCTGACTAACCAATAATCAGTCAGTCAACTCAACACACACCGGTTCAAGTTGTCATATCTCATTACTATAGAGAGATAAAATTGTTAGGGCAAACCCCAGAGTATTTGATATAGTAACAGGATTAATAGTAATGGAATAGATAGACATCAAAGATACGATTCAAGAAGAAAATATAAATTAGTGAAATAACAGAAAAACATTGTGAGGAATTTAAAAACTTAGGATTTGAAGGATAAATCTATACAATCAATTTTAAACCATACTATTCAGTAATTGATGGACTAGACTTGAGAAATGCTAATCAAGGATCATGCGACTACATTTCTATGTTTGACAGTAGATACAACATTCTACTTTGTGCTGGATGGTTGGTCATCTGCGTCAGATATTTATTTATATAATCTTTGAAACTTCTTTAATCGGTCAGTAGTTTGTTATCTAAAAAGTAGGATAGCCATTACCGATCGAAATTATCCTAATTTTAATGGTTGTAAAACAGGTTTTTTGTAGTTTACAGGGTAACAATTAATTATTTTTGTGTCACTCAATGATAATAACGTTTAGATTTGTTTCCTTGTTTAGAATTATATAGAAACATGTAAAATTGGGACAATGTATGACTCATTAGATACAATCAAGCAAGTCATCCAAACAAGCACAAACTTAATCACCTGTCAAATAAAGTATACAGTGTTACCGTCAGGAAATCACCCATATATACAAACTGTAAAAATTATAGTTGTCATGACTATTATTGTACATATCCGATTTTAGAAATATCAAATCTTAAGGGAAAGAAAAAGATTATCAGTGTAGGGGTTGTGGAGATTAGTAAGTTTTTGGTTGAGATCATGAACCGATTGATGTAAGACCACCGTCCAGTGCTTCCAGGATTCCAACGCTGGTCTACTATCAATCGGTTCATGATCCTAATGAAAAAATTATACTTTGATAAAATAAATGAATGTTAGATTATAATCAGAGAAGAGTTTTTGTGGATATTATAATAATTTAATAGTTCAATTCACGAGTCAAATGAATCTAGACTGATAGATCCTGGGTTGGAATCTCACGAGTCGGGATAGTGTATGCGCACTAATGAGGAGTCTCATACTAGGACGAAACGGCCGTCCATTGCTTCCAGGTTTTCCATGGTGATCTAGCTTCAATTGACTCATGAATTCAACTATTGAATGTTAAATTATTTATGAATATAGCGCTTTTAGCAGCAAATAAGTATATGTATAAGGTGAACAATACCATAACTGATATCATACTGTTTGATTAACGATATTGATTTAAGTGACTAGATGAGAGAAGTTTACTTCATTTTTCCAGCAATTTATTAGCTAACCAGTGTAACCATTCAACTCTCAATCATATACTAAAGGCTTTGAAATGTATTTTAAAACCTTAATCCCTTAAACTAACTACGAAGGAATTCAACTTCCAACTTCACCTTTCATTGAATATTTGTCATATGATAAACAACACAGCATACACCAATCCAATCACAATTGACGGAGAAGATTTGGAAGATGTAAAAACATTTACATATTTGGGAAGCATCATTGATGAACAGGGTGGATCTGATTTAGATGTGAGAGCGCGGATCGGCAAACCAAGAGCAGTATATTTACAACTGAAGGACATCTGGAACTCAAACCAACTGTCAACCAACACCAAGGTCAGGATTTTCAATACAAATGTCAAGACAGTTCTACTATATGAGGCAGAAACCTGGAGAACTACGAAAGCTATCATCCAGAAAATACAGGTGTTTATTAACAGTTGTCTACGCAAAATAATTCGGATCCGTTGGCCGGACACTATTAGCAACAACCAACTGTGGGAAAGAACAAATCAGATCCCAGCGGAGGAAGAAATCAGGAGGAAGCGCTGAAAGTGGATAGGACACATATTGAGGAAAGCACCGAACTGCGTCACAAGACAAGCCCTCACATGGAATCCTGAGGGGCAAAGGAAAAGAGGAAGACCAAAGAACACATTACGCCGAGAAATGGAGATAGACATGAGAAAAATGAACAAGAATTGGATGGAACTAGAAAAGAAGGCCCAGGACAGAGTGGGTTGGAGAATGCTGGTCGGCGGCCTATGCTCCATTAGGAATAACAGAAGTAAGTAAGTAAGTAAGTGAGTAAACAGCTTAGATTTGTTCATTCTTTGTTGATTGATCAGGTTATGGATGACAATTTCACTATTATGAGAATAATACGATCAATCGGCCAGTTATTCTATCTTCTGAGACACATTTAATTAGAACATAGGTCTAGGTTTTATCAGAGAAATATCTCTCCTGCTACTTTCATCCAATAATCATTAGATTAACAGTTAACTTTATTTTCTGTCAAACATTTGTCCTTTAATAGCGAACGGTCGATATTGTTGTTCAACTGATCTTAACGATAGTAGCTGTTGATGCCATCTTTTTTTGTGGATCACTTTTTAAAAAAAGATCTTTAATCATTCAAAACGTGCAGATGAATGTCACAGTGATAG